GACTGGTACACGTGTTTCATGTTAGCTCTTTTTTACCCCATGTACTAGTGACCCGAGCTACAGACTAAGTGTAGAGGTGGGCTGGTTACAGGGGCGGACTGACCATTTGGAAACTCGGGCACTGCCTGAGGGCCCTGGGGGGTCAGTAGGGGGCCCCATGAGATGCCCCTGGTACCTTTTTTCATTGGCTTTTTTGAGTTTGGGCAAGGGCCCCACATTCACTATATCCGCTCTCCCCGGACCCGGCATTCACTATATCTGGTCTCCCCGGACCCTGCATTCACTATATCCGCTCTCCCCGGACCCCGCATTCACTATATCCGCTCTCCCCGGACCCCGCATTCACTATATCCGCTCTCCCCGGACCCCGCATTCACTATATCCGCTCTCCCCGGACCCCGCATTCACTATATCCGCTCTCCCCCGGACCCCGCATTCACTATATCCGCTCTCCCCGGACCCCGCATTCACTATATCCGCTCTCCTTGGACCCCGCATTCACTATATCTGCTCTCCCCGGACCCTGCATTCCCTATATCCGCTCTCCCTGGACCCCGCATTCACTATATCCGCTCTCCCCGGACCCCGCATTCACTATATCCGCTCTCCCGGACCCTGCATTCCCTATATCCGCTCTCCCCGGACCCAGCATTCACTATATCCGCTCTCCCCGGACCCCGCATTCATTATATCCGCTCTCCCCGGACCCCGCATTCATTATATCCGCTCTCCCCGGACCCTGCATTCCCTATATCCGCTCTCCCCAGACCCCGCATTCACTATATCCGGTCTCCCGGACCCCGCATTCACTATATCCGCTCTCCCCGGACCGTGCATTCACTATATCCGGTCTCCCCGGACCCCGCATTCACTATATCTGCTCTCCCCGGACCCTGCATTTCCTATATCCAGTCCCCCGGACCCCGCATTCATTATATCCGCTCTCCACAGCCCCCGCATTCACTATATCCGCTCTCCCCGGACCCTGCATTCACTATATCCGCTCTCCCTGGACCCCACATTCACTATATCCACTCTCCCCGGACCCTGCATTCACTATATCCGCTCTCCCCGGGACCCCGCATTCACTATATCCGCTCTCCCCGAACCCCACAATCACTATATCCGCTCTCCCCGGACCCCGCATTCCCTATATCCAGTCCCTCCGGACCCCGCATTCACTATATCCGCTCTCCCCGGACCCCGCATTTACTATATCCGCTCTCCCCAGACCCCGCGTTCACTATATCCGCTCTCCCTGGACCCCACATTCACTATATCCGCTCTCCCCGGACCCCACATTCACTATATCCGCTCTCCCCGGACCCCGCATTCACTATATCCGCTCTCCCCGGACCCCGCATTCACTATATCCGCTCTCCCGGACCCTGCATTCACTATATCCGCTCTCCCCCGGACCCCGCATTCACTATATCCGCTCTCCCCGGACCCCGCATTCACTATATCCGCTCTCCCCGGACCCTGCATTCACTATATCCGCTCTCCCCGGACCCCGCATTCACTATATCCGCTCTCCCCGGACCCCGCATTCACTATATCCGCTCTCCCCGGACCCCGCATTCACTATATCCGCTCTCCCCGGACCCCGCATTCACTATATCTGCTCTCCCAGGACCCTGCATTCACTATAACTGTCTTCTGATATTTGAATGGAATACATTTGAATTTGAATAGAATAGAATAGAAAAGAAAACAATAGAATAGAATAAATAGTAATAACCTAACTGTCTTCCGAAATTTGAATAGAATAAATTTGTATTTATATAGATTAGATTAAATTAGAATAGAAAAAGAATAGCATAGCATAGAATAGGATAAAAAAGAATATAAACGTCGTCCACAATTTGAATTTTGAATAGAATACATTTAAATTTGTAAAGATTTGTATAAAAATAAGAGAAAATAAGAGTATATAATAGAAAAAAAATAATAATACAATAGAATGGTCATGCAGCTCATTGTTTTTTATTTGGAGGTTTTCTTAAAATAAGAGGCTGAATCCTTTTTTTGTGAGAACTGTGAGTAAGGATAGAAAAGGAAAAAAAAACAACAGAATAGAATAAAAGAGAATATAACTGTCTTCCAAAATTTGAATTTAAAAAGAATAAAACAAACAATAGAATAGAATAGAATAGAAAAAATATAACTGTCTTACGAAAATTTGAATTTTAAATATATACTATATATGTGATTTTGCGCATCCGTGCTGCCGTGTTGCAGTATTTCTGCTGTAGGGCGGTCGGGAAGCGGTTAATAAATGAATGAGTAAATAATAAATGAAGAAGAAACGCCCATCATTTCGGTATTCCTTTAACAATTCTGCAGAGTTTTTGAACCCGTTTTCACTGCAATGAGATCTGCAAACGCCATGAAAGCAACGAAGAGCGAGCAGAGCCCCGTGTTTATGTTTGTTTTTCCATTCCGGTCCAACGTTTTTTTTTTTTTTGTTTTTTTTTTCAAACCGCGTCAAGGTATACTTGATGTAATAACGGCGCTAGATTGATCTAAACGAGAGCTGATCTCTGCCTTCGGCACTTATTTTTGTGTCAATAAAATCTCTCTTGTAATTCATAAAGTGAACTTCCATTTGAAATAATCACATCAGGACAAATCGCCTTTCAGATCTGCAATGGATGGAGAGAGAAGCAGAAATCTGACGAGGGCGTCGGGAAGGTTTTATTACCGCTTGAAAATGCTGAAAAATTCCCGATGGCTTTTTTTTTGTTTTATCCCCAGAATCGCACGTTACCCGGGAACACATTTTGACATTTTTAGTTTTTGCAAAAGGGAAAGTGAGGTAAGGACCCAGCCTCGGGCAGCAGACAGTTACCCCCCCGGTTCACATCTATGTGGGTGGTGCCGCTGCGGATCCGCATGAAAATCCACCCACATGGAGAATTGCGGACCCGCGGGCGGGTGCCATTAGTTCTAATGGCACGCCGCTTGCACTGGGAAACGCAACCATTGTAATGGAACCGGACCCCGACTGCACTTGGGTATTTCAGTTAGACTCCCGCTTCCCTGTCCGAACACAGGACCATGGACCCCACCGCCGGCCATACGACACCAGTCTTAACCACTTCCCGTCCGCCGCTGTTTATAAACGGCAGGACGGGACACCTACAGGAGCGGGTTGCCGTCTCTAAACGGCACCTTGTATCTGAGGCTCGTGCGCGGCTCCTAGAGCGCGCACGACCGCGAGCCCGATGATCCCCGAGTCCGACGGACACGGTGGATTACGTGACATGGTATGGGACCAATGAAATCGGTCCCATACCATGTGATCAGCTGTGTCCAATAAGGACAGAGCTTAAGTGTAAACAAAAGCCGCATGGTGCGGCTTCCGCCTCCTTCTCCTCTCACGGAGTTGTCTGTGAGAGGAGAAACAGCGAAGAAGAGGGTTGTAGCTAACTGCCCTCCACCTCAGTGACACCTGATCGCCCCTAAAGTGTCCCTGATCGCCCCTAAAGTGTCCCTGATCGCCCCAATAAGTGGTCCTGATCGCCCCAACAAGTGGCCCTGATCGCCCCCACAAGTGTCCCTGATCGCCCCCACAAGTGTCCCTGATCGCCCCCACAAGTGTCCCTGATCGCCCCCACAAGTGTCCCTGATTGCCCCAAGTGGCCCTGATTGCCCCAAGTGGCCCTGATCGCCCACAAGTGGCCCTGATCGCCCAACAAGTGGCCCAGCAGTGTCCCTGATTGTCAGTGTCCCTGATCACCACATAGTGGCCCAGCAGTGTTCCTGATCGCCACAGTGTCCCTGATCGTCACAGTATCCCTGATCGCCGCAGTGGCCAAGCAGTGTCCCTGATCGTCACACAAGTGGCCCAGCAGTATCGCCGCAGTGGCCAAGCAGTGTCCCTGATTGCCACACAAGTGGCCCAGAAGTGTCCCTGACCACCACACAAGTGGCCCAGCAGTGTCCCTGATCACCGCATTGGCCCAGCAGTGTCCCTGATCGCCGCAGTGGCCCAGCAGTGTCCCTGATCACCCGCAGTGTCCCTGATTGCCGCACAAGTGGTCCAGCAGTGTTCCTGATCGCCACAGTGTCCCTGATTGCCGCACAAGTGGTCCAGCAGTGTCCCTGATTGCCGCAGTGTCCCTGATTGCCGCAGTGGCCCAGCAGTGTCCCTGATCGCCGCACAAGTAACCCAGCATTGTCCCCGATTGCCGCACAAGTGGTCCAGCAGTGTCCCTGATCACCACAGTGGCCCAGCAGTGGCCCTGATCACCGCAGTGTCCCTGATTGCCGCAGTGGCCCAGCAGTGTCCCTGACCACCACACAAGTGGCCCAGCAGTGTCCCTGATCACCGCATTGGCCCAGCAGTGTTCCTGATCACCACACAAGTGGCCCAGCAGTGTCCCTGATCACCGCATTGGCCCAGCAGTGTTCCTGATCACCACACAATTGGCCCAGCAGTGTCCCTGATCCCCACATTGGCCCAGCAGTGTTCCTGATCACCACACAAGTGGCCCAGCAGTGTCCCTGATCGCCGGATAAGTGTCCAGCAGTGCCCCTGATCACTGAAGTGTCCCTGATCACCGCAGTAGTCCAGCAGTGTTTCTGATTGCCACACAAGTGGCCCAGCAGTGTCCCTGACCACCACACAAGTGGCCCAGCAGTGTCCCTGATCACCGCATTGGCCCAGCAGTGTTCCTGATCACCACACAAGTGGCCCAGCAGTGTCCCTGATCACCGCATTGGCCCAGCAGTGTTCCTGATCACCACACAATTGGCCCAGCAGTGTCCCTGATCCCCACATTGGCCCAGCAGTGTTCCTGATCACCACACAAGTGGCCCAGCAGTGTCCCTGATCGCCGGATAAGTGGTCCAGCAGTGCCCCTGATCACTGAAGTGTCCCTGATCACCGCAGTAGTCCAGCAGTGTTTCTGATTGCCACACAAGTGGCCCAGCAGTGTCCTGATCATCGCAGTGGTCCAGCAGTGTCCCTGATCACCGCAGAAGTGGTCCAGCAGTGTCCCTGATCGCCGCAGTGTCCCAGCAGTCTCCCTGATCACCGCAGTGTCCCTGATTGCCGCAGTGGCCCAGATCACCACACAAGTGGCCCAGCAGTGTCCCTGATCACCACACAGTGGTCCAGCAGTGCCCCTGATCACCGCAGTGTCCCTGATCACCGCAGTTGCCCAGCAGTGTTTCTGATCGCCACACAAGTGGCCCAGCAGTGTCCTGATCATCGCAGTGGCCCAGCAGTGTCCATGGTCGCCGCACAAGTGGTCCAGCAGTGTCCCTGATTGCCACAGTGTCCCTGATTGCCACAGTGTCCCTGATCGCCACACAAGTGGCCCAGCAGTGTCCCTGATCACCGCAGTGGCCCAGCAGTGTCCCTGATCACCATACAGTGGCCCAATCAGTGGCCCTGATCACCTTACAGTGTGCCTGTTCATAAAGTGTCCCTGATCTCTACCACACCAGTGGATCCTGTTCACTGCCATCGTCTGTGAGGAGAGAGATCCAGTACAGCTAAACTGTGAGTAATTTTCAGCCTTTGCACAGAGTTTTTACACACACTCACAAAACATTGCCAGCCACCTCACTGTATCTCTGATTTTTGCCCAACAGTGACTAGTGTGAACCAACTGCAGCCAGATATCTGTCCCTCACTGCAACACCATCCTGATCACTGCCATACCAGTGGGTCCTGATCAGTGTCAAAAATATGGCCAAAAGATCATATACAAGCGAGGAGGCATTTCAAATTCTGAGTATGACAGATGAGAGTGACGGAGAACTTAAAACATACCTTGGGGTGTTTGCTTTCCAAAATGGGGTAATTCCTTTTTATGGATGTCAAAAAGTCTACACATGGCCAAAGATTTATTGGAAATAGGATAATTCCATTGTCCTGATGCTCCAGGACCTCCAAAAAGCAATAGGTAGTTAAGAAATTAGATGTGCGATCTTTGCCCTTAGAACGCTAACAGGTGCTTATTGGATGTGGAACCCCTCTATGTGGCCAGACTGTGAAAAAGTCTCACACATTTGGTATCACCATATTCAGGAAGAGTTAGAGGATGTGTTTTGGGGTGTAATTTTAAGTATGCCTATGCAGTGTATTAGAAATATCTCATAGATTGACAACTTTTGTGTAGAAAAAAATACATTTTCATTTTCTTTTCGCATTTTCCAAAAACTTGGGCAAAAAATGAAGTCTTCAGAAGACTCTGCATGCCTCTTAAAACATACCTTGGGGTGTTTGCTTTCCAAAATGGGGTCATTTTGTGGATAATTCCATTGCCCTGATGCTCCAGGACCTCCAAAACGGCAATAGGTAGTCAAGAAATTAGATGTGTAATTTTTGCCCTTAGAACGCTAACAGGTGCTTATTGGATGTGGAACCCCTCTATGTGGCCAGACTGTGAAAAAGTCTCACACATTTGGTATCGCCATATTCAGCAGGAGTTAAAGAATGCGTTTTGAGGTATCATTTTAAGTATGCCTATGCTGTGTAATAGAAATATCTCATAGATTGACAACTTTGCGTAAAAAAAAAATACATTTTCATTTTCTTTTCACATTTTCCAAAAACATTTGGCAAAAAATGAAGTCTTCAGAGGACTCCCCATGCCTCTTAAAACATACCTTGAGGTGTTTTCTTTTGAAAATGGGGTCATTTTGTGTGGTAATTCAATGTCCTGGTGCTCCAGGACCTCCAAAACTGTGATAGACAGTCAAGAAATTAGATGTGTAAATTTTGCCCCTAGAACGCCTAAGGGTGCTTATTGGATGTGGGGCCCTTCTATGTGGTTAGGCTGTGAAAAAGTTTTACACATGTGGTATCGCCATACTCAGGATGAGTAGCAGAATGTGTTTTGGGGTGTAATTGCAAGTATGCCTATGCCGTGTGAGAGAAAGAACTTGTTAAATGACAACTTTGTGGGAAAAAAAAAAAAAAAATAATTTTTTTTACTTTCATCATTTCCTTAAAAAATTGGCAAAAAATGACAACTTCAAAAAAACTCCCCATGCCTCTCATTAAATACCTCAGACTGTCTACTTTCCAAAAAGGGGTCGTTTGGGGGTATTTGTACTGTCCTGGCACTTTAGGGCCCCAAGAAATTATATAGGTAGTCCGTGCATCAGGATTGATACATTTTCAAATATATCAAATATATATACCGTGGTCTGTGGACTCTATAACTTTCACAAAGACTAAATAATACACACTGATTTGGGTTATGTCTACCAAAAAAAATGTAGCACAATGGATTTTGGCCTAAATTTATGAAGAAAGTATATTTATTTGCAAAATTTAGTATCAAATACTAAGAAAAACATGTTTTTTTTCAAAATTTTCAGTCTTTTTTCTTTTTTCTAGCAAAAAATAAAAACCCCAGTGATGATTAAATACCACCAAATTAAAGCTCTATTTGTTTGAAAAAAATGATAATAATTTCATTTAGATACATTGTTGTATGCCTGAGTAATTGTCATTCACAATGTGAGAGCGCCGAAAGCTGAAAATTGGCCTGGACAGGAAGGGGGTAAAAGTGTCCGGACAGGAAGTGTTTAAAATAAATCAGGAAATAGACTGCGGATCCGCACGAAAATCCACCCGCATGGAGAATTGCGGACCCGAGGGCGGGTGCCATTAGTTCTAATGGCACGCCGCCCGCACTGGGGAACGCAACCATTGTAACGGAACCGGACCCTGACTGCACTAGGGTATTTCCGTTAGACTCCCGCTTCCCTGTTCGGACACCGTCCACGGACACCACCGCTGGCCATACGAGACTAGACAACACAAGTCTTGAAATAAACCAGGAAATAGACTGCGGATCCGCACGAAAATCCACCCGCATGGAGAATTGCGGACACATGGGCGGGTGCCATTAGTTCTATTGGCATGCCGCCCGCACTGGGGAACGCAACCATTGCAGCAAAACTGGACCCTGACTGCACTTGGGTATTTCCGTTAGACTCCCGCTTCCCTGTCCGGACACCGTCCACTGACGCCACCGCCGGCCATACAAGACCAGTCTTAAAATAAATCAGGAAATAGAATGTGGATCCGCACAAAAATCCACCCGCATGGAGAATTGCGGACCCGCGGGCGGGTGCCATTAGTTCTAATGGCACGCCGCCCGCACTGGGGAACGCAACCGTTGTAACAGAACCAGACCCCGACTGCACTAGGGTATTTCCGTTAGACTCCTGCTTCCCTTTCCGGACACCACCGCTGGCCATACTAGACTAGACGACACCAGTCTTGAAATAAATCAGGAAATAGACTGCGGATCCGCACGAAAATCCACCCGCATGGAGAATTGTGGACCCGCGGCAGGTGCCATTAGTTCTATTGGCATGCCGCCCGCACTGGGGAACACAACCGTTGTAATGGAACTGTACCACGACTGCACTTGTGTATTTCCGTTAGACTCCCGCTTCCCTGTCTGGACACCGTCTATGGACACCACCGCCGGCCATACGAGACCAGTCTTAAAATAAATCAGGAAATAGACTGCGGATCCGCACGAAAATCCACCCGCATGGAGAATTGCGGACCCGCGGGCAGGTGCCATTAATTCTAATGGCACGCCGCCCTCACTGGGAAAGCAACCGTTGTAACAGAACCGGACCCCGACTGCACTAGGGTATTTCCGTTAGACTCCCGCTTTCCTGTCCGGACATCGTCCACGGGCACCACCTCTGGCCATACGAGACTGGACGAGACCAGTCTTAAAATAAATCAGGAAATAGACTACTTTATTTTAACACAGATACAAGATATATACATTCAAGGGAACAACCCCCCTCCCTGCATATTGACACAGGGCAGGGCAAACCACATCTAGCAACAAGAGACACATCAGCAGATACTCCCATCAGGGAGGGAGGGCTACCGGAAACACCCCCCACCAAGCCAATACACAAACACATACATCCCATAATAGTTTGCTTCCAAGCAAGACACACAATAGAACAATGGGACAACCACATGGCATCAAACAATCAACAATCCCCCACCCCATCTATACATGTCTACACAATATTATGACATTTCACCCTGCACCCCTAACAGGCACAGGGTGACTTACACATAATAGGGTTATGGGAAGCTGAGACAGGAGTCTCCCCACCTCTCCAAAGTGAGCTGTGTTCCATGGGCCCCCCACCCAAAGTGACTCTCATCACAACCGTACCGGGAACCTCGGCTGCATTTTCCAAAGTAGTGCAGAGACTTCTTTCCCTGTGGGTCACGGGGCATGGGAGTTCATTCATATTGGCTTTTTAAAAGTAAAAAGCAGCATTTTTCTCCTACAATATAGTTCAATGGAGAAGCTGCTGAAATGCACGGTAGTGTTTATGCCGCGTTTTGCATTTTTAATTTTTATTCTGCCCAGCAACAAAAAAATTCCACTTTCAAAAAAAGAGCTAAACAAAATGCAAAACGCACAAAATGTGGCAAAAAACATGTGTGCAAAAATGCAAAATGAACTGCGAAAAGCACTGCAAAATGAACAAAAAGCAAACTATCTAGGTGTGAGTGGACCCTTAAGGAGCAGGTACCAGATTTTGACAGGTAACTGCTTCCACTTCCACTGCGATCACCTAGACCAGCCTTTCTCAACCTTTTCCACACAGAGGAACCCTTGAAATAACTTTCCTGTGTCAGGGAACTCCTGCTAAAAATTACTATATCTACAATTCATAATACATTAGTGTGATGGTTAGTGGAAAAAATGCTCCTTACACTTGTGGTTATTGGGAGGCATTACCCCCTTTCAGGTAGCTAAAAAGATCAATGGTGTCAGTGGAAACTTATCTGGGAGGCAGAAATTGCTCAAGGAGCCCCTAGCAACCTCTGGAGGAACCCTCAAGGAACACCTAGCAACCTCAGGAAGAACCCTCAACAAACCCCTTACAACCTCTAGAGGAACCCTCAAGGAACCTCTAGCAACCTCTGGAGGAACCCTCAAGGAACACCTAGCAACCTCAGGAAGAACCCTGAACAAACCCATTACAACCTCCTTTCAGGTAGCTAAAAAGATCAATGGTGTCAGTGGGAATTTATCTGGGGGCAGAAATTGCTCAAGGAACCCCTAGCAACCTCTGGAGGAACCTCTAGCAACCTCTGGAGGAACCCTCAAGGAACACCTAGCAACCTCAGGAAGAACCCTCAACGAACCCCTTACAACCTCTGGAGGAACCCTCAAGGAACCTCTAGCAACCACTGGAGGAACCCTCAAGGAACACCTAGCAACCTCAGGAAGAACCCTGAACGAACCCCTTACAACCTCCTTTCAGGTAGCTAAAAAGATCAATGGTGTCAGAAGGAACTTATCTGGGAGGCAGGAATTGCTCAAGGAACCCCTAGCAACCTCTGGAGGAACCCTCAAGGAACCCCTAGCAACCTCAGGAAGAACCCTTAACGAACCCGATACAACCTCTGGAAGAACCCTCAAGGAACCCCTAGCAACCTCTGAAGGAAGCCTCAAGGAACACCTAGCAACCTCTGGAGGAACCCTCAAGGAACCCCTAGCAACCTCTGGAAGAACCCTAGGATTCCATGGAACTGTGCTAGAGAAACCCCCCCCCCCCCCCCCGCAGTCTTATGGTACATGTGACAGGTCCCAGAAGACTGCAGAACCATTCACAAGGTGCAGCGCTGCTCGCACATGCCCAGTGGGCAACCAGCTGTGAAGATGCAAGCTGTCACAGCCGGTGCCCATGAGCTGCCGGCACCAGAGACACAGGACGGCTGGTGAAACCTGTTGTGGCGAGGACACCGCTGGATTGCAGGACAGGTGAGTGGCTGTTTTTTAAAAGTCAGAAGCTACAGTTTTGAAGCTGCTGACTTTTATTTTTGTCGCCTGAGACTGGAGCTCCGCTTTAAGTGGTTAAATCACTCCCCCAAAAAATATTTTAAAAAAATTAATAAAGGTAAAAAAAAAGCTAAAAAAGACAAATAGGAACCATGTGCGCCCGACACTCTACATTATCTGGGAGTTTTGCCAGGCCCAAGTCATTGCCATTAATTGTTAGATTTCTCTGAGATCTGAATCACTTCAAACATCAGCGTAATAAATACATTTCCATGTTTTCTACTTCCCGCGCCATTTGTGCTTGATGAAGAACCCGGCGCACTTGTAAACAGAAATACGCTACGTCTGCCTATTAAGAAGACCTATTTGAGCGCTCCGCTTCCATAAAAGCCTGTTAGATATGTGGATTTTCGGGTTGCTGCTGGCATGAAACCTTGAATAGTTTGAAATATAGTAAAGGGCAGGAGATATTTCCTTGTTAACCAGTAATATTTATTAATGTATCTCATTGTATGACCTACAGATTTAATAGGTAGAAATATAATTCAAGATTATTCTTGTTTTTTTTTTTCTGTACGTTAAACTATCAAATTTTCAGTTTGATTAAAATGTGATTGGAGACCTCTACTTACGTATGTAGCACTTCCCCCTTAGGAGTCGCTGAGTTTTGGGTCCCCCCATTTTCTGACACAGCCAGGCAACATGCATTTTCTGACCTTGCACACTGAAGGCAGTAAACAATCCTTGAGCTTTTTTTTTTTTCATTGTATTATTAGCCTCTTTAGTGGTCTGATTATGTCCATATTTCTGTGCTCAAAGCGGTACATTTTTTTGCATGGAAATATGTATTTTTTTTATTGTAGGCCTGTAATTTTTAGGAATAACTCACTGAAATCTGTCCGAACAAGAGTCTAGTAAACATCCCGGGTAGGATAAAACTTGAAACACAAAATCATAAATTATAATTTAATAAATCATAATAATATTAAATGTAATTCAATAATATAATCAAACCAAAAACACTGAAATGTGAAATATAGCGCCAAGTTCGTACATCGCTGAGCTCAGTCGCAGAATCGTTTTCAGTGTCTGATGAGGAATTTCCCCCACAAATCATTATCACTCAATTCTGCAAGTGGTTCTGATTTACTATCGCTGTTCTCTAGCCGGTCTAAAACCGCGTCTGACCTAAAGGGACGCTTTTTGGACGCCATGGACGTTTCTCAGTTTCCGGGCAGAAAGAACAGTAAAAATGCAGGCAGGGCGCCGGACAAAGCACTCGGGACAAAATGTATGTGAAATACAAAGCTGACGTACAAAGCCGTCCACCATACTGCCCCGAACTACATCACTGACCTAATATCCAAGTACCACCCAGCACACACACTCCGCTCCTCACAAGACCTCCTTCTCTCTAGTTCCCTGGTCTCCTCCTCCCATGCCCGCCTCCAGGACTTCTCCAGGGTGTCACCCATCCTCTGGAACTCCCTGCCCCAACCCATCAGATTATCACCTACTCTCCTCTCCTTTAGACGCACCCTGAAAACCCATCTCTTCAGGGAAGCCTACCCCACCCCCTGCTAACTTGCCGACCTCCTCCACTCTTCCTACCACTCCATCCCCCACAGCTATCTCCTCCTGTACCACCATCCCCTCCCTCCTAGATTGTAAGCTCGAAAGAGCAGGGCCCTCGATCCCCTCATGTTTTGCATTGTATTGGTATTGTTCTGTCACATGTTCTGTCCCCCTTTGTAATGTACAGCGCTGAGCGAACTATTGGCGCTTTATAAATACTGTATAATAATAATAAATGGTTTGATACAGGAATGGAATACTATGCGATTTTAGTGTTTTTAGTGAATGTCACTTTTTGTCATTTTCAAATTTCCCGCCAGTTCCGTCCCCCGTACGTTCCGACGTCGCAGGGAACGGAACCCGGAAGACAGATGCTGGCATCACCCGGAGGACATTGCCAGGGACACTGCAGGAGGGACATCGCGGGAGCGCAGGACAAGGTAAGTGCAAAAGAGATCCAGGAGCAACGCTGCAGTGTATTCCCGAGTGTAGCTGGGGGGGGGGGGGTTACCGCTTGTGGTGCTCAAACTTTACCCCGAGCTACACTTGGGAATACCTCCAGGGAGGTTAAAGGGTATTGAACTTGGATGGGGTTGAGGGGTGCATGGGATGCCAAGGGACAGTAAACTGAGGACAACTTCTTAACAACTATGCACAAGTCCAAAGACAGAAAATTCTCTTCTTGGAGAGCTTTCCACCCCAGAGGAATCCTATCTTCATCCAGCTGTATTGGGTAAATCCCTGGGCAAGAAGACCTGAAATTTGTCTCTTTAAATCAAACAGTCCCAAATGGGGGCTAGTCAGATTTCCCACTAGAATGTTCTTTCCCATTATCCAGCCCAGGGGGTCTAGGACTACTCCCTCTCCTGTGAGCTTACTGAGTTGGTGGCTTCCTTCAGGCCTTCCACGCTGACTCTTTCCCTGCTCTCAGGGGAGGTGGTCCTCTCTCAGGGGACTGCTGAGGTTAAGAGATCCTCCTTTCAACTTCAGCCTGGAGGAAGGCCCCTTCCCACTGGGCCCCCTTCCAGGCTCCTGCATCCCAGCCTCTCACTCTATCTTTCCATCTGAACTCTCCTGCTGCTGATCAGGCTCAGTAATATATAAGGGTTGTCCTGACTCCAAGCCAAGCCTCCTGACCGGGGATTAGTCAGGATCCCTCAAGTATGCAGATCAGCCCTTCCTCACCCCCAACCACTGTCTTCTAGAAACTTCTCAAGTCTCCAGAGCAAGGGGAGGTATCAGGGAACTGATCTGCAGAGCCCTGAGACCTAACCCAAAATGACCTGGCTGACTCACACCCAGGCTGCTGCTCAGCGTTCCTCTCTTAAAAAAAACTAGCTAGCTCCTTCTGGCTAACTAGAGGGGTGCTACACATACTTACATAGTGTAGTTAGTTGGGTTGACAAAAGAAACAAGTCCATCTAGTTCAACTAACAGAAAAAATAAATAGAAACCCTTCATGAATATGTAGCACCCTATTAAGTTGCTAAGAGATAGGTAAACTTAGTTTTTGCTGGGTGGAAGTTAACCCAGTTTGATTTCTGTGTGGGTGTGCATTTGGTTTCTCCCTAAGCTCAGAATGTTTGCGGTCTCTCACTGTTACTAGTATGGGTCATCACTCCACTGGCCACGGTATGAAGGTTCCTGCTTTGCTGAGTTATGAATATTCATTTCCTTCTGGTCATCCCAGTAGAAGGTTCAAGTCACTGGGGCATGATGGGGGAAAGTATAAATATTTGGGAAAACCACGTGTTAGCTCTCTTGCCTGAGGCTGAGGCATGAGAAGCTGCTGCTGGACTGTTCATGCTGCTAGACCCAGAAGACCCACTTGTTCCTAGTCTTTTTTTTTTTTTGGAGCACAAACCTATAGATCTGGCCTAAAATATTCACCAGCTGGGAAAGCTGCATCTCTAAAAGTTGTACCATTGGTTCATATGCTGTTCATCAGGGTCCTGGCTGTGGCAGAGCCTTGGGAGCTCTAGCTGAAACTACAGAGACACCTCTGGGACTTCACCTTTTGAGGATCCAGTCTACAATCGCCTCACTGGAAGGCATCAGAAAACTAAGTCTGGGTGGCTAATCCTTGGCCTTGTGAGTAAAAGACTGTTTGCTGATCCAGGTGGCATTGTTGCTGCAAGGAGATAAGAGCCAATGTAGCATTATGGGGTATAGAATGCTCAACTACCTCTAATTTGGCCTTTCCCTTCTCGACTCAGGGGTCAAGTCGTACTATTTTTCAGAACAGTGAAGTTAGTGTCCTCTTATTTGAATCTCAAATATCAAAGTATTCTATGCCCTACACTCAAGGCCTGGACAAGGGGTGGGCAGGAGGGGCAGCTACCCAGCTGTAGGGGAGGGCGCCCCCTCACCAGATATGCTACAGATCCGTGGCTAGCAACCAGGGCCTCAGTTTCATGTTTGTACTGACAGCTACTGCTGTCACTCCCTGCTCCAACATACCACCCCATCTACCCACAGCTGGCACAATAATACAACATGCATGTACAACTGTCTTCTATCCACAAGAAAGCAAGTGACTGGCCATGCAGGGGCAGTCCACACTCCATGCCAACCATTGATGGTTGGAGAAAGGGGGCAAAGAATGGGTACAAGGTGGTTCACCAATTCTATGGCATGCCTTAGGAGGAGGGTGCAGTTCTGCTTCCTTGCCCTGGGTGCGGGATGAACCTGTCCTGGTATTGCCTACACCCAGGGGCGGACTGACCATTCGAGCACTCGGGCTCTGCCCAAGGGCCCGGGGTCAGTAGGGGGCCCCATAAGATGCCCCTGATACCTTTCATTGGCTTTTTCATAGGCTTTTTTGGGTGTGGGCGAGGACACAGGGGACCCATGATCCCCTATTGCCCGGGGGCCCCATTAGTTGTCAGTCCGCCCCTGCCTACACCCCTCCGCAGTTACAAGTATATTCAGAATTAAAACTCAGAAAGACATCCCTTAGACTGGATACTGTGTCAGTGTGTATGGAGTCATCAAGGTTTGTATGTTGGCAGCCTCTGCACCATCAGGAGAACTCTGATCCTCATCTTCATCTGTGTAACTGTACTTTAGTCACATTCCATCATCATCAGTGATTGGCCGTCATGGGGGTAGCGCTACTCATAGAACCC